CCATTTTTTTCCGCCCTGCTGTCCCTCCTTCTCTCTCTCCCTTTCCTCGTTGCTTTTGCACGCCGCCGCCGGTATGAGTCATCCAGCAGCAGCAGCAGCAGCGCGGGGCAGGCTTTGCAAAGCCCCGCTCGAGCCGAGCCGAGCCGGGCCGAGCCGGGCCGAGCCGGGCCGGGCCGGGGGGCGGATGGCGGGACCGCTGCTGGCCGTGCCAGTCGCCGCGCGGCTTGGCCACCTCGAGCCTCGCGCCCCGCATCGCTTCGCTCTCGCCGCTTCAAAACTCGCGCCGCCGCCGCCGCCGTCTCCGCCCGTGTTGTTGTGCACCGCGTAATTAAGTGATTGTGCGCTTGTGTGACGGTGTGTGTGTGTGACGGTGCGTCTGTGCGGAGCCCTCCCGGTCCTCCCCGCTGTGTCATTGTACGCAAATGAGCCGCTGCGACCGGGCGGGGTCCTGTCCTCTGCTCCGTCCGACAGTCTCTGCTGTGCGCGAGTCGGACGCCGGCGCCGAGGGCTCGTCGTCGTCGCCGCTGAGGACGGCGAAGACGCCCTTCTTGTGGGAGTGCAGCGTCAGCAGGTACATACCGATTGCGTCCGGTGGTGTACCTATCTAGTGCCGAAGAATTCGGCGCGGCTACTTGCAAGTCCTTTGTTGTTATTTTTGCAATTCAAACTGCTTGGTGTTTGACATCGTTGCGAACCTCACGATTCTGCCGGACTGTTTGTTTGCCGAACCTACAAGTTCGCAAGGCTGCGGGAGGTGGTGTTTTGTGGATACCCCGCCTGGCTAACCGCCCACCAACTCCGGAGCAAAGGGGATAAGTGACCAAAAGTGTCTCTAGGAAAACACGTGAAATGGAAAATGAGGCTCTGGGATCTTTTTACCGACCGGCAATAGAACCCAGCGCCTCAAAAAATAAAATAAAAACTAGACGGTATAGAACAGGCCGTAATTTGAAATTATAAAACGGTTCCAATTGGCTCGGCGGCGCGCGGGTTGGTTCTGTTGTGCGCGGCGAGGCGGTGATGTTCCTGGATCTGGAGGGCCGTAAAACACCGCGGAGCAGAGCATGCAAATGGGAATGGCGCCGGCGCGCTGCAGTTCGTCGACCCTTAGCGGCGGGGCGCCGGGCCGCGGCCGGGACGACGAGCAGCCCCCCTGGCGCGTGTCAATAAGGATGCCGTGCGTGACGTAAGGCTAACGCACCTGTCGCACCTGCAGTGGCGAGTGCGTGTGTGGGCGTCCGTCCGTCCGTCTGTCCGTCTGTCTGTCTGTCTGTCTGTCTGTTTGACCGGGGACACACATCACGCGGGACACACACAAATGAGCGCTCTGTGGGTGATGATTCAAGGACGCTCGGCTCGGCCGGCCGCGCCACGCGCTATGAAGAGGAGGGCCCAGCTGTTTAGCGGTGCCGGCTGCGCGGCGCGGTCGCTCAACCGGGCGGTCAGACTTGTGGGCTCTGGCTGCTCCTCCTCG